TTTTTTTTTTCTCTTTTTTTTTTCTTTCTTTTTTTCCCCTTTCACCTGAATCTGGTTTCTCAGAACTGCCACCTCCTGAGCCAGCAGGTCCTGCACCCGGTTTTTGGTGCCTGCAGCTCTGGGTGGCAGCTGTTGCAGCATAGAATGGGGGACATCTCAATGTTGGGGTCTCCATCCCCCTCCCAGCTCCTCCTGGAGCTGCTTTGTATCTCCAAGAGTAATTGGAGCTGCTCAAACGTGGCCTTAAGTGACTCAGATGAGGATTTATGGAGAGGCAGTGGTGAAAGGGGAGCTTTCCTCCCTGGGACACCATGAGAAGGGTTTTGTCAGTGATGGGAAGCATCTCAGTGTCCCATCATTGCATCTCTGCTCCAGGGAAGAGCATGTTAGTGTCAGTTGGAATCTCCAGGAGCCTCATCCCTCTCCTGGCATCCTTCTCCTGGCATCTCCAGAGACCACATCCCTCTCCTGGCATCCTTCTCCCTGCATCCTCAAGGACTGCATCCCCCTCCTGGCAATCTTCTCCCTGCATCCCCAGGGTTTGCATTCCTCTCCTAGCATCCTTCTTCTGCCATGCTGCATCTCTCTCATGGCATTCATCTCCTGGCATCTCCAGGGGCTGCATCCTGAGCCAGTTGAAGATGTCCCATTAGACCTTTAAAAGATCCTTTCCAACCCAAACTGTTCTGTGATTCTATGATCCCTCTCTGAACATCCCTCTCCTGGCATTCCCAGGGACTGCATCCCTCTCCTGGCATCTCCACAAGCTGCATCCTGATCTGGTTGCTGTCCCTGCTCATTGCAGAGAGATTGGACTGGATGGCCTTTAAAGGTCCCTTCCAACCCAAGTTCTTCTAGGACTCTGTGATTCTATGATCCCTCTCCCGGCATCCTCAGGGACCACATCCCTCTCCCAGCAACCCCAAGGACCACATCCCTCTCATGGCCTCTCCCAAGTTCCACGTCCCTCTCCTGTCATCCTCAGGGAAATTTGCCACGGTGTACGAGCCAGAGGGGTTTGGGTGCCCTGAAATTCCCTTGGGAGAGGCCAAACCTCGCCGGAAGGCGGCCGGAGCTGCACCGAAACCCGCGCACAGACTTTCACTGTGAACAGGGCGGGTGGTGCATCCCTCGTGCTCCGCTTTCCGCTCGCTGTTCTTCGAAGGCGCCCAGGGCTGGGGCTTTGTGAGATTTTGGTGGTGACTTTTGCTCTATTTTTTCCCCCCTCTCTGTTTTTGGGTATCGCAGGGTGAGGGCGCGCGGGGGGGGGAGGGGTGGAGGGCGA